CGAAAACATTGTAAGGACGCTTAACATACATACATTTCACGTGGACAAACACCCAGGTCCAAAATAACTATCTGTAGGGCATACAAATAATTGTCTCATATGGGAATGAACCCATGACTCCCGGTTCCGAAGCCAATACCTTGGCAACTGCGCCACGGAGTCTCACCGTTTACTTCAAATGTGGTCAAAAGAAACTGAGCGAGTTTCTGGCGCGTGGAAGTCAGAGTAATGTATAAAAGTCGCCAATAAGTATCGTATCTAGATCAAAAGGAGATACGAAGATCAGCATCTTTGTATCTCTTCTTGAACTAGATATTCGCCTTATTTTTTTTAAGCAAGTACATTCTTAAAAAAGTTGCTTACACAGACTGTAGTTTTACTGGTTGGTTTCACTGCAGTAAGTAGAAGTATTCATGCATTTCAGATTTTTCCGACAAATGGGGCAACCGAGGCACATCATCTTAAAGGTTATCAATACTTTCTGCGGATTTATGATCATGGGTAGCGGTTATGACTAACCATTGTGTAGGCTTGCTTAATTTATTGTCTCATTGAGAATTCATTCAATTATTTAAATGACAAGTGAAGATTTAAATATTTTGGATTTTGGGATGAACACAATTTTTCTATTTAAGAAATCACCTACTAGGCTCTGGTCATCAGATTGTAATTAAAGAATTTTACTAACATATCACGATTGTGACAAATCTTGCCATCAGGAGATTTTCGTCACTTATTTAATATTTACTGTGGTGAATGGGCGGGTCCGTTCGGGCAAGTACCACGACCACACAAAAGTGAAGCGTGAAGTGGGAGTGTTATACTTCTGCGTTTCTTCTGGTGAATGAGGTAGCCGGCTGACTTTATTAAAGGGTGGTAACGCATCTGCCATCCTATCGGAATTGCAAATGTCCACGGGGAGCAGTTATCACTTAACAGCAGCAACCGCCAGCTGACTTCACATCTCCGCACATAAAAAAGATACTGCTCCTTTGATCACGGTCAAACACCTAGCGCCTGGCTTATAGATTGCGCATTGTTGTCAAAATTGCAATTACCTACCATCAGGCGCACTGTAAACATGGAACTAGGAATATATAAAGAGTTTAGACGTTTTAAACTTTTAACACCCCTCGACGAAATATTCCACGTGCAGAACGTATTAAATGGTTATAGGCTGTATTAAAAGAAGCGTTTGCAAATCTTATAAGCTATATGTAAGGCATACATTATCTATTATTATTTATTTTTATTAATAATTTCAGCATTTTGCACGTTGAAATACTAGCAATTGAACGTATTGAAGTCCATATTTAATACATAATATGGGTGAGAAATTAATGCTCAATGATCTAAACATTAATTAATAATAATATATAATAAATTCAATATATTATATATTCATATAAACTTCGCAACGCGGCTGTATATTATACAAAACAGTGTGGAATAGCGACCTCCACATATTTGTGAAATATTGTTCTATTTTTTTGTATGCAAGATCCATGAGCGCCAACGGCCCGGTGTGTGGTTCACTTGATGTTAACAAATTACCGCTGTCTTAACACATTCACAAAACCTGTTGGGCTGTCGACGTATCACCAACCAAACAGAAGATGCATCCCAGATGACCAGATGCGATACATCAGCGTGTATTAAAAACGAAATCGTAAGCTTATATGACGCTCCACCGCAGTACTACTTCTTCTACTTTCATATTGTAACTAACCTTCTTCTTCGTCATCTTCTTCTTTCTCTTGCCCGTGTCCTAGGCTATCATCTCAATACTCACCTCTTTCACCGACGTATTATTCTTCAAACACTTCAGCCAAACCACATTTACACTCAACACTATTCTAGTCATATGACTTGAATATAGTCGTCGTTCAATAAAACTATAGTTAATACTATTCCTAGTTCACTACTATACTTATTTATGACACAACTTTCTTTAATAAACAAGCATATGTATAGCAATAGTCAAACGGAGTACACAAAAAAATAGTATATCACAGGCAAAAAAATTGATCTGAATATTATCTCTGGCTAATAACTATACAAGTGATTCTCAACCTTTCTTTTGTCGCGGCGCACTCTTATCGATTTCAAAGTTTGGTGGCACTCAATGAAAAACGCTTTTGCCCAGTAATAGGATAATTGTGGGCTCTTACTTTACTTTTTAGGGTTCCGTACCTAAAGAGTTATACGGAATCATATTACTAAGACTCCACCGTCTGTCACCTGTAGTATTTCATGAACCGTAATAGTTAGACAGTTAAAATTTTACAGATGATGACCAATTATATCTAAAATATGTTTGCCAGTTGTAAGATTAGGAAACTCACGACGTAAAGAAAACGTTTAATTTCATCATTTTCGTAAATATGTATTTAATATAATACGTAAAATAATGTAATTAATTGAGCTTTGTTTGGTTGCATTTAAATTATGAATCAAGAATGGCATTCAATTTTAAAAAAGCGTTATATCGACATGAAAGTTAAAGCTAACATTAAACATAAGAAGGATTTAGAAGCATTAAAGAAGGCTGAGTTCATAACAAGGTTAAGTGAAAATGCTAAAAATATTAACTCAGTATTTTACTGATGATACTCCTTTTTTTGCCAAAGATTTTCTGGCAAGTTAATATTCTATCGAATTGTCTCTTGGGTTTTCGACGACTTAAACAATTTCTTGGTCATTGTGCCTAATGTTTGATTGAGCTGTAGAAGCTTTAGAATCTGAGTTATTATCGTTTTGTATCTCCGCCTCAGAAATCTTTATTTCCTTCTCACCTTCTATAAAAATATACATTAAATTAATTAGTGTTGCTTGTGTTTAATTTGCGTTTAGTCAACGACCGTACATTCTATTCCTTGCTCCTGATTAACCTCTGTGTCAATTGCTTTATCTTCATTAAGATTAGATTCAATTTCTCTCTACTAGTCAAACTGAGTTTCATATTTCATATTCATTTAATATGTTTTTAACTCTTTTTCTTTTCAGAAGTCAGTAATTTATTAGTGTGCCTTGGAGAAGAACAATTTAATTCAGTTTTAGCATTACTGAATAATTATTTCTGCGTGATAGTTTGCTAATTTGTATTTCAAAAAGTGTTAGAGTAGTTGGGAAAAAACACAATGGATAACGTGAGACCTTTTTATCACTTACTCTAAGTAGCTTTTATGAATTATATCTAAAATGATTAATTTATCAAATTGTCCAATGTCCAAACAACTTGGTCAGTACTTAAAATATTTAGCTAATCTATTTAATCGCTATTTAACAAGATACTTTTTATGTCACATATATGAATTAAGTTCGCAGATCTCAAGAATGGTGTTAATCATTACTACAGATATCGATAATATATTGATAATACTATTTCAATTAACAAGTGAGTTTTAGTATTATTGATATAAGCAGGAGTTATTTATTTATACATGTTACACCTAACTCACATATTCATCACAATGAATACGTTTGAAACATGAACATTGTACATTATTAATAAGCATGCGACAAAAGTACAATGTAATTAATATGTTTTGTCAAAACAATTGCACGCTTAGGAACTCAGTCGATACGCGGAATTAAATGCTATGGTATTTGAGAACGTTTATTAAATGTTTATATCCGTATAAAAATCATTGGCGTCTCGCTAACAATTTGATAATCGACCTTACATAATGCAGGTTGTATTGACGATTACGTATCTAGCCCAGCGTGGAACCTGAAACAAGTCTAGTTTTACCTAAGCGGGCAGACGCGTTGACATGTATAAAGAAACTCATGCGGCAGAGTAATTATTAAGAGCTGGTACAACAGCCAAAATATCCAATGAAGTATAAATGTTTTTATTTAGATTATATTAACGAGTACTGTAAAAAGTAACATCCTATAAATATCCCAATGCTGGGCAGAGGCCTTCTCTGTACAAAGTTTAATAGGGCATAGTCCACCACGCGGCCCCACTGCGGATTGGTGGAGTTCACAAATCATCGAAAATTTTATTTTGTTATAATTTCGAAAATATTCGGGTTTCCTCACGATTTTTTCCTTTACCGCTTAGCACGTGATAAGTCAGCACTTAATTAACAATTTCATTGGTGCCGGTACCGGGGATCGAATTCAGGTTGCTCGAGTATATTGAATTAAAGGCGAGCGCCCGGACACTGAGCTATCACAGCTACTGTACTTGTATTTAAATGTGTTTACTTCTAATGGAATTTCCCAAGGGATATCTGCAGAACCTCTGTACATGTGAGGCCGGAGTATTTTCACGGGCATTTTCATTACCCATTTGTGTCATAGCAGAACATTATATTTAAACAGGTATTTTCTTTGTTAAAAATGTAAAACCTTCAAAAATTGTACCCAAACATTTAATAATTTTATAAGTAATATTATACTTTCATATATAGCAGTATTATTATAGTAATATTGTTTTTATTGTAATTTTAGTTTAATGTATATTTCTGTTGTTTCTATTATAAATACATTAAATACAATGGTGTTATACTTTATGTTAGGTTGTATCTCTACTGTCTTTTTTAAAAAGCAGTTTCAACTTATAATTAAAATCCACTTATCACTTTTTTATTAACTTTGTATATAACTTATAATAAATAAATTGGAAAATTATTGCATCTAACCTAATTGTCTAACAGGAACTAATGAACGTAAAAGAGACGAAACACATTAGTTTTAATATTTAGATTATTTGTTAGTAGTACATAAATTTGATTGTCTGTTAATATTTGTCTTTTTAATGACAAAGTAATGATAGGGGTATTTAAGATACACTTAGAGATCCCTATGCACTTTCTTCCACTTGACAAAGTTTGAACGCACTGTGGTTCCGCACGTGGGTCCGCTTCAAGTAACATGTACTTAACTATCTCAAGGAACATATAAATACCATTACTTACTTATTCTGCTACACTTACCTTCAGCAGTCCTTAAGTCACACTGTTTACTAGAAATCACAGCTTTAGAAAATGTTTAGTTTACAATGTGTAAGTTTCTCAAAACAATAAAATTACAACAATATTTTAATAACCAAGTAACAGTTATTAACATTAAAAATAGTTGAGAACGAAAACCGTAAATAAAAATGTTCATAAACCGCCTATTTAGACATTAAATTGATTTTGTAAGACGATCTTTTTCTATTTTAGATTTTTATCCTATTCCAAACATAAGTAGCCGATAAAAGAGGTAATCAAATTTATAATTAAAAGTTATACATATTGTTTAGTTTGCGTCTTGCGTATGGTCACTATTAAAAGAATAATGCGCAGACTTTATTAAATATTTCTTACCACAGATCAGACCATACAATATCTCAGTGTAAACTAGTTATATCGAAATAATAACTGACCAGGGTGTTGTTCCTTAGGCTGGTTCATTTCACTTTATATCTCCGGAGTTATTAACAATTATATAACCTTATTTTTATTTTTACCTGACTGCCTATGGAGAGTTATGGTTTTCGACCGATGTATGTATGTACATAATATAACTAATACTTTCGACGTATTTCAACACATGAAGTGTCATTAGATTCGTCTTAGTTATGGGAGCGATATAGGCTTATGTCAATATGATGTTCGTGACAAATCCGTGTCCGTGAAAATAGACGAACAGTTAGATTGTTTTAATACAGTCATATTTTATGTTCAATGTCATTTTTGCATTTGATAATTTGTACTTGTTAAAGGAATCTCTCTTTTCTTTCGCAGATATTTTGCTTCCTATTCTTGTCGAACTGCATACTGATTGAAAGTGCCGAGCAGAAGAAGAGAGACGCCAGTTTGGGTATCGGTATTGGCCATGGGATCGGTGTTGGCCATGGGGGCATTGGAGTCGGGCCTGGCATCGCTATATCATCCGGCATCGGTTACGGGTACGGTGCCGGCATTGGCTACGGTACGGGCATCGGCACGGGTATTGCAATCGGCGGCGGCACCGGCTTAGGCGTCGGCGGCGGTCTCGGTACGGCGGCGGCGCTAGCAGCCGCGGGCGTACCGACCCGCCACACCTACTCCGAGATCAACAATGGCGTCGCGATTCCCGTACCGCGGCCCGTGCCCGTCGACGTGCCTCGCGCCGTACCAGTCGCGGTCCCAGTCGGCGTACCAGTAGCTCGGCCGCGCCCGGTCCCGGTCTCCGTGCCTCAGCCTGTACCGCACATCGTGAACAGACCGGTGGCCGTACCGGTTGACAGGCCGGTACCGTACCCAGTAGCGCAGCCCGTTCCGGTGGCCGTGACACAGGGTGTGGGCATTCCTGTGCCGCAGCCGGTCGCTGTTGGAGTACCAGCACCCGTACCCGTCGGCGTGCCTCAGCCCGTACCGGTTGCTGTCGGTGCCGTCGTTGGGTCCGCAGGGGGCTTAGGGGGCTTAGGGGGCTTAGGCGGCTTAGGGGGCTTAGGAGGGTTAGGTTCTGGCATCGGCGCTGGCATCGGAGCCGGCTCTATCATCGCATCTAGCGCTGTTGGAGGAACAGCTATCAGTTCCTCTTATGGAGGACTCGGAGGTGGTGCCGTGATAGCGTCAGGTGTTGGGGCCTCGTCGGTTTCTAGTCACGGAGGCCATGGCTATGTGGAGTCACACGGCCACGAAATCGAACACCCTTATTAATCTATCAACCAGTTTTTAAATCTATTATAGAACCAAATGTTTGACCATAAGCCAGTTTAGATCGTCGTACCTTATCCAGTGTTAAGCGATTGAAAAATAGCGGTGTTTAGGGAAGCTTTAATTACTGTTATGCTAATAATTTAGGAATAAACGTCTTTAATGTAATGAAATGCCTTTTTAATATCCCACTTATCATATATCCTCAAATACTGCTTGGTAAAAATGGTTATTTCTAATGTTTTGTTTTCTTATAATTTTTGTTTTTAATTAGTTTTTATATTATACCTTGGTGTATACTAATTAAAAACAAAAACAATCCTTGGCAATTTAATGTGGCAGCTTATTTTCTGACAAGAGAGAAATAAATCTGTATAGTATTTAAGTTTGTTAATAGTTTAAAGTAAGGGAAAAAATAATATAATAATCTAAGGTCATCATGTTTGCTATCGCAATATTGTGTAGTCATCAGGTACATATCCATATACTTTACAGATTAATTCAATTACCATATGTTGCACATTCAAGTAGTATTTCTTCGTACCATCGTTTGTAGTAAAAAAAATACGTGTTATTTTTAACAAAACTTAGGGCACAGATTGCAATTCAGACTGCCACGGGCTTGGTAACAGGGTCTATTTTTATATTTCTCTCGTCCGGGTTGAAGACATAACCAAATATTGCCAGAAATGTTGCTATCATTGTCCTCTTTCTAATTTGGATATTGGTTTTCTTGATAGCGTCCATTATCTGGTACGTATTTAGATAAGGTATCAGTGTCCAGTGCTGACAGCTGACTAAAGACGTCCAAAACGAAAGGAGAATCTACTTTCTGCGATTTGTTTTTGTTAGTGTTCACGAGAGGAGCGCGCTCAGGATGCATTCAAGTAAGTGTTATTTGTAATACGTTACGAGTATAAAAACGTTACAATAATTCGATGTACTTCGTACGATATCATCCATGAAGCTATGTTGTAGATTAGATATCCCACTGAAGTTCCAACAAGGAAAAATAAACAATTTTCCGCGCTTACATTATGTATCGCTTGTTATATTTATAATCCAACAAACAATTTTTAACCCAACTGTGAAAAGATTCGATACTTGAATGTTTTTATACATACTCAGTACTTCCTTCATTTATTATGATGCTGTTATTATTGCGATTACTATCGGGACACGCAAACTTAGTAACTTTTAATTAAAAAAAAATATTCCAATTAAGTCTTTACTTAAAATAATTTTAGATTAGTTATTAATAAAGGTTTTTTTTACACTTATGTCAACATATTAGCTGTAATCTATTTTTATTTTTATTTTAATATTTTTGTTTTAGTTGTATTTTTTTTTTCTCTGTAACACATTTAATTACAAATACGTGAATCTATCAATGTTTAGTTTGCCTATAATTTGGATGTGCAATTAGTTTTAAGCATTAAGATTATTGTATAGATGACCTAAGTAAGTTTTATTGTCACATCTGCAGGTGAGCTTAACAAATAAAAAAAAATAAACAGAAGTTATTAAATGCAATTTACATCCATGGTGAAAGCGTACAGAAATTATTTTTAAATTGAACAGAAGAGATAAATTAATCAAATATATCGTGAACAATTATATCCCGCTATTGTCTCTACCTAGAGTGTTAAGATACTCTTTGATTATATATTCTCTTAACCCCGTCGAACATCTGCGTGAATTTATGAGTAACAAGATTCGATCTGTAAAACTACATGAAATGATTTTGGCTAAGAGTCAAAAAGATTTTCTCTGTATAGCATTAAATACATTAGATGCGTCTTATGATTATATGACACCAATGCGAAAGTATAGACATTTATTGGAAGTAATAATTGTCTTTAATTTACAATGGTGCCAATTTTTTATCGGTTATGAGAATTCGGTAATTTCGTCATGCCGAGATGATCAAAACGATGGCCAACCATATTTAATGTTACCGTTACTTAACCGTAGGGTTGCAGATGCGTTGCCACCTATAAAGTGGGCAATGGCTATCTCACTCACCAGACGAAACGCAGAAGTATAACACTTACACTTTTATTGGGATAATATCAAAATATAATACGTAATGTAACATACATAATAAATATTAACCAAAACACATATTATAATAAATCAAAGTAAACTTGGTGGCACTAATGCATCAAACATGATTGAAATTATTTTCAAGACTCGTTGCAATTTGCCGAAATCAATAATGTACTTTAACTGTGTATTTTGTAATTACAGAATTCCCATTCTCCATGGAAAATATACCACGACAGAAGGGCTTCGCATGTTTATCCCTAAAATTCGGATCAATTCTGTCGGCGCTAATCATAATAGTGAGTTTAATGATTATATGTTAAGTTAATAATTCTACTGTTCTAAAAACATTTTTTTTAAATCGAATGTCTTTATTCAAATAGACGCTTCCGCGTTCTTATGAATTGTCAAAGTTTACATAAAAAATTATATATAGGTTCGTAAGGTCGCACCCGACATTACGATCATTAAGAATATCATTCTGATCATTCATTTGGCATCATCATCATTTTGGCAACTTAAATGCCATTTGAAAAGTCATTTCTTAGCTCATTAGTTAACTTTTAGGATGATCAGTGTTTCAAATACCAGGCGTTAGTCATCATCAACAAGTGACTAAGTGGAATATTTAAAATGTGAATTTTTGTAGATTAATAAACAAAAACATTCGTCGTTGTCGGAATCAAACCTGCTCCTTCAGGGGGACGCGCCCAGACGCTTTACCAAATAAGCTAAGCGGCCAATGACGTCACAAAGCGACGTCTACTTACGTTCTTAATTGCATCCTCAGCAATGCTTGCAGATTTACATCTTAAATTTCGTCTGGAATGCAGGGATTAGCACTAAAATAAATATAAATCCTGATTGCAACATCTTGATTTCATCGTCATCACAATCATTTCGGCCCATTTGAGTCCACTGCTGAACACAGGCCTCCCCCACAGACCTCAACGAAGCACGATCTCAAGATTTAAATATGTTTTCTTCCAGATTTACTCGGTACTGGCACTGGCACAATGCCTGGCGGTCCTCAATGTCCTACCGTCTCAACTCTCGCCCGAAGACAAGGACGCGATGGTATCGTACGGCGTCGTCATGATCGTGATGGTAGTTCACGCCGTCACCCTGTTCATCAGCACCGTGATGTTGATCGGAGTGTTGAGGGTAAAGTAACATACTATATTTATAATTTTCTTGTCTACCGGAGGTATTAGAGCCTTGCCAGTACTGTTATACGAACTTCACACATTTTCTTACTGTCAGCGAGCTGTGTCTGATGAACCGTAACGAAATCTATCATGGTAGGGCCAGGCAACAGTTTTCGCTCTACAAGAATGGGCAGGTACATCTGGGACAGTACCAAGACCTCACAGAAGTTCGGCCTGAAGTATTGTACTTCAGCGTTTCGTTTGGTTAGTGAGGTAACTGGATCCCACTAATTTAAAAGGTGGCAACGCATTTGCAACCCTACAGTGTGGCAAATGTCCATGGGCGGTGGTTACCACTTAACATCAGGTGATCCGCCAGCTGATTATTTTTTATTTTTATGTGAACAGTTGCCAAGCGAGCAGACGGTTCACCTGGTGTAAAGTGAATACCGCCACCCATGGACATCTGCTACACCCGAGGGTTCCAGATGCGTTGACACAACCTTTTGATAATTGGGCTCCGGCCACCTCACTCACCAGACGAAACGCGAAAGTATTTGCCATACTTCCACTTTACGCTGGTCTTCTGTGAGGTCGTGGTACTTACCCGGACGAGCCTGCCCATTCGTGCAACAGCCGAAGCTGCTGTGTGGCCCTACCACCGTAACATTACACATCACACACATAAAAAATGATCACATAAAAAAATTAACATTGGTTATAAGTGTATTATTTTACAGTGTAATTTTGTAGATACCTCGGATTATTTATTTATTTAAATGTGAGGAAAGTCGATTGACGCAGGTGGCTCAGTTTGCGGGGAGTCCTATGTCCAGCAGTGGGCTAAAATGGGCTTAAATTATTATGATGATAATGATTGTAGTTGTAAAAAGTAACAATAAGCGAAGTGCATGTATGCGCGGATGTATTGATGAGTACGAACGAAGTGTGTAAGTATCACGGAGGGTCCGTAGTCTGTAATATCTGCTCAGTATTGCCAATTTCTCGTATTTCTCCAGGAAAAGCCGCACATGATAAAGCCGTGGATCGTGTGGACTTCACTACAAGTGACTGCTTCGGTGCTCATGTTCGTGTTCTGGACTACGATGAACCTAATCAACCATTCGGGACAGAGCTCACTGATACTTTACGTTGTCGAGTTTCTGGGACTCAGTAAGTTTTGTTTCTTTTGATCTTTTTTTCCATAGTAATCCTCAAATGTTATCTTTTTCTTCGTCTTCGTGGTCTTCATTACTGAAGGTCGTGTCCGTCCTGAAAAATTTTAAGTGAATCGGCGAAGAGCTGCTTCCACACCACTCCATCTTCGGCTTTCTTCAAGGCAGTGGAAACAGGAAGCCCAGTTATAAGCTTCACTTGATCAGACCACCGGGTAGGTGATCGCCCAGGTGGTCTTTTGCCATCCACTTTCTCAACTACAACTACTTTTTCAAAATTATCCGGCTGCCTGCGGGCGATGTGACCAAAATAAGTTAGAATTCGTTGATAGCAAATTGTGGAGAGCCTAGTCTTAATGTTTAGTTGGTCAAGAATGGACTTGTTGGTGCGTTTCGCTGTCCACGGTATGCGCAACATTCTTCTCCAACACCACATTGCAAACGCTTCGATTTTTTTCCGGTCCACTGCGCGAATTGACCAAGACTCGGAGCCGTACAGAAATATCGCGAATACCAGCGTCTTCACCAGTCTCATTTTGGTTTTGTTGGAGATATTTCTGTCTCGCCAGATCCTTGACATTTTGCCCATGACCGCTTTGCCCATCTGCGTACGTCTCCGAATTTCCCTCTCGCAGCCCCCCTGATCACTGATCATTGAGCCCAGGTACGCAAAGTCGTCCACACACTCCAGATCTGCAACTTTTCCCGTGCGTGGGCATTGTCCAGCTCGGTCGATGATCATAACTTTGGTCTTAGATTTATTGACGGAAAGTCCTATCGCTTCGCTTTCTCGCTCTACCCTGTAAAACAATTCTGCTAGTTCGCACTCGGAGGACGCGAACAACGTAGTGTCATCTGCATATCTGAGGTTGCTGATCTTGTTACCCCCGACAGCGATACCTCCCTCCCACCCATCTAAGGCTTTCCTCATTATATACTCGCCATAGATATTGAAAAGAGGGGGAGATAGAATGCATCCCTGTCGGATTCCTTTCTCTTACTCTTGCTTAAAAGGTGCTGACACCACATCATTCAGGCTGACCATGGACTCTCCACCGTCGTACAAACTTGCGATCAATTCAATTAAGTGGGAAGGTACTCCCATTTCTTGAAGGATTGTCCATAAGGGTTCCCATCTCACACAATCAAATGCTTTCGAGTAGTCAATAAAGAACATGAAAATTGGTACATTAAATTCACGGCTCTTTTCTATCAACTGCCTCATGTTGGCTATTTGCTCTCAAATGTTGTAGGTGTTGACAATGTTTTTAGTTTTCTGTTTGAAGTCGGTTTTTTTTGTTCAAAATTATTTATTATTATTTCGAAAACATGCCGGTTTCCTAACGATGTTTTTTTTCGCCGCTGAGCACGTAAATCAGCATTTAAAATTAACAATTTCATTGTTGCCAGCACCGGAATCGAACTGAGGTTGCTCGAGTATATTTAATTAAAAGCGAACGCCCGGACAGTGAGCCATCGTGGCTCTCCATATCTATGATCATTGAACAATAATCCATACCAATATTATAAATGCGAATGTAACTCTGTCCGTCTGACTCGCTTTGACGCCAAAACTACTGAACCGATTTGAATGAAATTTGGTACACAGATAGTCTAGAGCCTGAGAAAGGACACATTAGTTTATTTTTTAATTGGAAAAAGGGTTCTTAAAGGGATTTGATATTTATTTAAAGGCTTCAACGCGAGCGAAGCCGCGGGCGAAAAGCTAGTGTTTTGATATATCTTTTGTGTTACATAATCACATCGGTCTAAAATGTTTATTTCTAGCGATCCGCTTCTACATGCTGATGTTGGTGGCCAGCTACTACAAACAGCTGGAAGAGGAGATGGAGGAGACGGAGAGGCTAAGGAAGCTGGTGAGCAACGAGACTTGGTACAGCTCTGCGTGATTGCTCATCAGTTGTCATCATTTCTATTGTGATTATTTTATTATATTATTATTTATTGACGCGTTAAAAACATCGCGTCGTCGACGTTTGCAAACACGCAAACGAATTTCAGGCTGTTGCTCTTTTATACTTGGTTAAAAATAAAAACGCATATTGATTTCCCGATGTGTTTGCGAATTATAACCCACTTTAAAATCGAACCGTAATATCGATCGTTCCAATAATAAAATAACTATACACTTCACAAAACTGAAATGTATTTACAGTAATTGACCTCTGTAGATAGCATCATAACACTATATAAAGATATGTTAATAGGGAACTGTACAAGAAAAGTAAATGACACGGTTTCGAGTATTCTCAATTTTTCTCAAATACGATAATGACTGTTATCCGGTGTGAAGTTGTAACTGAGAGTTCTGATAATTTCACAATTTCATTTCTTTGTCTTATATTGTATTTCAGGCCAGTTTAAATAGAATTTAGTTTCGCACTAAATGACCGATCATTTAGTGCGAAGTTGACCGGAAAAACGTCTATTTTACTGGCCTATTCTGTGAGCCTTATAAATTACTACGAAAACTGCAATGTAGCTAAAGTTAACACCACTAAGAAAACATAAATTTTTAAAGTGTCGTGCTAATTTTGCCTTAACTATGACGTTAAAACTTTATATCTTCTTTATTATATATCGACTTGACGTTAAAACTGCATATCTACTTCGACTTTAACCATTTGCAAAATTGAGTTAATGGAATTAATTACTACCGACGAACCATATAATTTGAACGCAAAATTTACAAGTTATATTTAATCTTACATTGAAAATAAACAGTAAATAACCCCGCTACCGTAACGCGCTAACAATAAATGAAAATAAAATAATAGATTCGTTAATCATTTGGTATATTTCTCAAAATGTCGATAAACAATAAAATAAAATTAATTATTTACAGATGCCTAATAGTATTGGAAACTCTCTTAACTAAATTATTATATAAAAATAAAACAAATGTATGAATGAACGGGTCTATGAATTTTTTGAACTAAACAATATCTAAGTTTCAAGTTCAAAAAATAAACAATGTTGCAAGTAAAATAAACGGAACACCATTCAACAGAGTTGAAAAACATCATCACACAATGAATTCATTATAAACTTCATAATTATTATAAAGCATTTCTTTTATTGCTGGAATAATCGAAAGAAATTTTCTCTCTGGGCGTTCCTACGGCCATGATTGACAACAATGAAGTTCCTTATATCTATCTATCTCTTAAATTTCATTCGACGTATATCAGCTTCTCCATAAGATTAAGGATTACTAAGATTGAGTCCGTACTGTCACATATCGGAGATAGCAGTCTGGTCAACTACAGTATAAGGCACCAAATTACCATTTAACTAACTTATAATTAATTTTTACGTATCTGAGGCTCGACTGTGGACATGTTTCAAGCTAGTTTTAAACTTCTTCATTCATCTTTGTACATATTGAATACATCCAAGAACTTAATGCATACTACAGATATTATCGCTTAGACGGGGTCTCTGTCCCTCGTATATTTGACTGTGCCATCTCTTTCCATCTTGACTATAGAGCTCCATATGAGTATCACCAAGTAAATTTGTAACACTGGAAAAAAGAAAACAAAATGTTATTAAACACTTTAAAAAAACGATAACTTAATAATCAATGAACAAATGGATGATTATATCCAATCATTGAATTATTATATCCAATAATCAATTAACAAATATTAATTTCCAATAGATGTCAATTTATCAACAGCCACCTATTAGGTGCTTATCTCTAGGGCATGTTATTTATAAGCTCCTATTACAAGAGAAAACGTTATTTAATATAACATTTTAGCTTCGTATATTTTTTTCTTCAAACAATGAGATAGCAAATGTAATAGAACTAAAGATCATATTATTTTTTTGTATGCAAAAAACCAACAGTGCTGGCTAAATGAGGAAGCTCAAAGTTGCTAAGCTAAGCGGGCTATGTTCGGTATTTCTTTGCGTGATAGAGTTCACAACGAAGATATTCGCAGTAGCGCAAAGATAAGCGATGTAGGTTAGAAGATTAGTAAGCTGAAGTTTGACCGACATAACTCAGAAGTTTATTGTAAGAAATCATTTGATTTTTCAAAGATTTACTTTGTTCGCATTTACGTATATTTTGGATTTCCACCGTCCCGAATACCCAGCAGAGCTTTCGGTCTAATATAAAATTAAACCTGATGTCATTCTGAAATATGCAGTAATCGCGTAAACAAAATATGAAGAAATGTCCAAAACATTCACTCACTGAGTTGGAAGAGTATGAGGAACAGCTCGCTCGCCGTCTCCCTGGTCAGGAAGGCGAGGCTGTACACGAAACCGATGATGGAGAACACTATTTCGAAGTACAGGTAGACCTTCATTAGCAGCACGTGTTTCTGAAAAATGCCATGGTCGATGTTAGATTAAATTCCTCGCCTTTTCTAAGCCCTCGTCCGTCACTGCATGCGTCGTGATTGGGACGCTGGACATTCGATTGCCCATGGGTTCTTATCCAAGAAAGGTGCTCAGAGTTTTCCATTTTGCGGATTTCATGCGTCCTAAAATCACTGATATTTTTACGCCCGGTTTATTGCCACAGTATAACTTTGTCACAGACTTATAATCGATACAACGAGCTAAACTAGATAAAACTCTGTCAATTATTTTAAGTTTGAAGGAAGTAGAGCTTGATTTGGTATTTCAACGTCTCGACTTCAATTAGTCCTCGCGTACTATACGTAAAGATTATGAATTTCGCATGCCAAAAACTTACACCTTTCTTATTCATTTATATTGTGGTCTTTAAAAGCTGGCCTATAAGTGGAACTTAGAATCACATAACGAGCTATGGAAAGAGTTATGCTCGGAGTTTCTTGCGTGACAAAATCCGGGATTGTAAATCAGTTCTTCTGATTTCCAAGATGAAGCAAGCAGGCAATAACTGTTCGAAGATCTGATGACCGATGGGGAATAAAAGTTCTAAAAGAACGGTGGATCGCAGCCGATATAAATAATGAATAATTGAACTAATGTTCTCCATAATGATTCAATATCCTTTTTACTCACATCGATCCAATGAACGAGTAAGCTTGAAAAAAGTGAAAAATTGGTTAACATATATTGAAGCATCAAAAATATTAGTAGACATTTGAAAGCCTATTCTTTTGCTATAATACCAAGATAATGTTACAACTATAATTAGTTTTTACCGCAGGACGTAGATTGAACTTATTTTTCTATTAATTTGAAATATCATCTTAAGTTCATAGAATAGCACTATACAAATTAATATAATTTAGATACATATTGCTGAGTATTTATATATTTGTTTTACGTTTGTAAACGTATACACTAGCTTTTTATTATTAATACATTTAACCTAAAGAACTTCACCTTCAACTTAAGAAATCTCAGTATCCTCTTAATCACCTGTTAAATTCTGATCTCATTAGTTCAGTAGCTTCTTAAGGTTTGGCAACTGCGTAGCTGCTTAAAACGTGTGTTGCCTGCGTCACATTAAATCTTAACTAGCGACCCGCCCCGGTTTCGAACGGGTGCAATGTATTATACATATAAACCTTCCTCTTGAATCTCTCTACTAGAGTAAGAAAAACCGCATCAAGATCCGTTGCGTGGTTTTAAAGATCTAAGCATACGTAGGGACAGACAGCGGGACGACTTTGTTTTATTCTATGTAGTGACGTAAATTAATCGTGATCTGACCATGTGCAGCGCGACGATGAATATGACTGACATGGCCACTTCCAGCACTAGAGCCGTCGTATCGGCTATCAGGCGCGGATACTCGGAAACGTCAGTTAACTCCATGTTCCGAATGTACGATATGTACATCGAGAGCAGCGCCGTCACGACGATCGTCAGTATCTGGAATCAATTGAGAATGTGAAACATAATTAATTAGTAAAATGTGTTTTAATTTTTTTTCTTTATGTGAATGAATTGGCAATTGCCAGTCATTTTGTTTTTTTTTATAACTGAAGCGGAACCGGTGGGCTACCCAGAACCCACGGGTTTGAGGCCCTGCTCAGTGGGTAGGGCCGCGCATGTGGACATGCGGGGTTTAATTATGGCCTGTCGCCTACGGGCCATCGAGGTTCGGTGCGGACCGTGAACCCGATGGCCGTCGACTGTCCTTGGTAATTGGCAGTCCATCTGATTATCGCCGGCCAAGGACATGTAAATAAAATATACATAGCAAAAAGTGGAAGGCCCACTACTATCTAACCCACCGGACAAATCGCGATAAAGTAATACTTACACACACATACATACATGCTTTTCTTTTGTGAACGACGGTACATCCCCGGACGAGAGTGCCTATTCGTGCAAGTGCAGAAAATAGTCTGTCGTCCCATCGCAGGCAACACCACATTAGCGATCTTTGTATTTTTATACGAAAGACCAGCGACCCGCCCCGGCTTCGCGCGGGTACAATGTATTATACATATAAACCTTCTTCTTGAAATACTCTATCTAGTTTATGGATCTAAGCATACATAGAGACAGACAGACAGCGGGACGACTTTGTTTTGTAATATGTAGTGAAGGTGGAAATATTGCAATCGGTTCAGCGAGCATGGAGGTCTACAACACCGATAAGATTTCAGTTGCATTGCCAAACGTCAAGAGGGTCGGTCCTGTTTCCTCCACTCACCAGACGAAAATCAAATCAGATTAATTCTGCTCCAAATTGTTATACGAGCAGCCTAGACCATTCGTGGTTCTAGAAAAAGGATTATTATCATTTTAATTAATTAATCTCCCATATACTGTTGCAATGAATCAACGCAAAACGGTGTACCTCGCGTAACAATATATTTCCGTGGTTTCAAATAACGCTTCATAATTAACTCGTTACTATTATTTCTAAGTTAACTAGTAGAACTGGTGTTAAGATTTAATTAACCGTTCGTTGTTGCTTACATCTTTGTGCAGTTTAATTTTTATATATTATTAAAATTTTGATTCCACCGTCGTTACGAAAGTTTGTAACTCGATTTCTATACAATTTACAAACTTCTAAAACAGTGTATGGGTGAAATAAATGCCTGAGGCATTCCCTGGCAATCAGTTTCCTTAAGAGTGATGAAGTAGGCAGCAGGAAGTAGTGAAAACAAAACACCAACATTTATTTTATTTTACTTAACTTACTACTTTATTTTACTTAAAACGATGACGTCACTGTCGAAATAACGAAAAATAAAGACTAAACATACACGTCACATTTCGCACTCAAACATAGCATAATCATTATTGTAAGCGGAAATTTTCCGGACGTCTAATAAATGGAGGCGATTTTTCATCATACCTCCATCCCATTTAGACTGTCAAGCTCATGAATTCAGAGATTTATGAACATATATTTTTATCCTTCACGTCGGCTAATGTTCACAAATTTTTCATTACGTTAAATGCCACTAAGAAACGCGAAGATCGTGGAACACTGTTTCCGTATCCGAGGTTAGCCAGCGGCTACTAGATAGAATTGCATTTTAAAGGGAAGTAAAAAATATTTACGAACAAATTCAAGTTTTGTTTTCATCGTCATCACCACACCTTCAACATATCTGCGACGTTTTAAGAATCAATGGTAAAATATTTTAATTTTTTTCAAGAGAAAATAAACAGCTTCCTGATACAATTACGACTCCAGCCCAACTGAACATATTCAAAATGTGCGGTTTTGACTTTTAGACCTTGTTTGGTATTAAGATAAAATGTATAGCTTCACCTTTATTTTAATTCTATTTGCGACAACATTGCCATGAGTTGATAAAAATAAATATTAAATTAACAATTTACATTTTAAAGAACAACCATGACTTAAAGAGTTACCTTAATGTTACGGGCGATTAAAGTTGTTTAGTTCTCTCAAGCATATCTAATATATGAAATTTTCGTCACGGTGTTTGTAATTGAACTCCTCCGAAACGGCAGACCGATTTTCGTGAAATTTTGTGTGCATATAGACCAAGGTGGAGAATCGGGCTATCTATTTTACATCCCCTTAAATGTTAAGGGTGGTCTACCCCAAACATTTTTTTCTACCCTACAAATAATTTATATAGCAAAACAACGTTTTCCGGGTCAGCTAGTTATAAATAAGATCATAATAAATTGGCTCTATCAAATGTGGCAGTTCCACGCAATAACTTCTGCTGTTGCACGAATGGGCAGCTACGACCGGGGAAGTACCACGAACTGGAAGTATTAAACTTTCGCATTTCGTCCGGTGATTAAGTGAGTAAAGTAACAGTAACGATACGACGTACGGACCTTCAATAAGAGAGGCTAATTCCACCTTAAAGGCCGGCAAAGCAAATGCGGGTCAAACGATGTTGCAAATGTCAATGTGCGACGGTGATCGCTTACCATCAGGTGACCCGATTGCGCGTTTGCCTCTGTTCTTGTTTAGGCAAGAACAATATATTTCAACAATAAACTTTACTGCCGATTTTATACAGGTGAAGTGATGTGTGCAATGGTTGAATTTTGATTATGACAAATCACATCTACGTTACAATTATATAATAAAATATTTTACTTTAACAACGTAAAAGTACCGACACAATCAATCACCTATTAAATTTAAAATACTGTAGGCGTTTGAACAGCCTCCTTTTTCAATAAAAAAAGGGGCCCACATTTAAAAGATTGTTAACGCATTCACGGGCGGCGGTATTTACTTAACATCAGGTGAACGAACCGCCTGCCCGCTTGATAATAACTTTTCACATAGAAAGAAAAAATCACATAACGTTAAATTTAACTTAACAACAAACACATTGCACAGGGCGGATTTAGGGCACGAGTCATGCCGATTTCGCTAAACTCAATATGTTTTTTGACTTCCAATATTGGCTAATTCGTTAAAATACTGGTTAAGTTACTTACAAGGTTTGCATAAGCGAAGACCACAAGGCCCTTCCTCAGAGGAAAGCAGAAACAGCATCTCGTCAATATTGGTATCTCGATGGAGTTGCATATTTTCTGTCTGTGAACAAATGAAAATTCGCAATAAGCATTTGTACTCTAAACGAACTTAAGCTAACATAATTATATCGAGCGCAATATTATTTTGAACGTGATATTTTAAAAAGAATTTAATAAGCTTTGACATCTTTTTAACCGACTGCGTCTATTTTCTGCCTGTATTGTTTACAAGAAATAAGTATACGTCGATTTTTCGAAATTATTTGTTGTAACCCATAATCAGGGGAATTTTCACTAGAGCCAATAAATTTTCAAATACTAACAATATCATAAACTCGAAATCACATATTTTAAGGCTCAAGGTTTTTTAAGTTTTTTCGCGGAGCTTGTAACTGTAAGAAATAAGACCCTAAACCGAAACAACTATCTGTGGAATACAAAAATAGTTGCCTCGTGTGGGAATCGAACACAAGAACACCGGCGCTGCGCCGAAGTCAATACCTTGGCAACAACGCCACGAAGTCATCGAGCCGATCGCATTGTAACAAAATTAGTTGGTTCAAAGACTGTAATAAAGTCAAACATTAGTGTAAACATATCAATGCAATAAATAATTCAGTGAAGACCGATGAATGCGTAAATATAAATGTCAAATTCATTTACAATGTAAGCAAACGCATGAGAAATACAAAAGTGTACTTTACCGTCTATTATGCGTCTTTCAGTATGTTTGAACGTACTTCTATTTATATTGCACGCTTACATGTACACTTACTTGCATGCCGGTATCTTCCAATAAACTATATACTATATAGGGAACGAGATATTATCGAGGACTACTAAACATAAGAAGACTTTTTGACAGCCATGATATATTACTTTGCTACAATTCGGATTGGTGCAACGAGCTACAAAGTCGAAAATCCTATAGTGATTTTTTCAGTACTCAGTGATGGAAGTTGAATGGAATTGATTACGGTTTAATTAAATTAGTACCTGGAGGACCGAGCTTTGCGCGGTTTTTTTTGGTATATTATGTATTTTGGAAATAAAAAAATAAAAAATAAAGAAAATGATCTGGTATAGAAAAAAAAGTAAAAAAAAATAAGTGTGTAAATGATCTTGATACGAACCGCGGTTTGTTTTGGGGCCGCCCGATTACCGACCGAGCTACTACAACATTTTTTTTGCGGCGAAATTTACTGTTATATTCGAATGATATTTTTCATTCCCTGAAAACAGGGATAAAAGGACATTTTCTAAAAATGAAACCTAGCCAAACCACACAAAATTTCATGTAAATCGCTGGAGCCGTTTCCGATATTCCGATTATATGTATATACAAGAATTGCTCGTTTAAAGGATAAGATTTGGAATTAAAGGTAAATGTCAAAAAGTTGTTATTTTTTGCCATGGTATTTTCGTGACGATTCGGTCGTGACTGAAAAATTATTACGGTTTTTCACCTAGCCTCCATTCGCCAATGTATTTTGGATACACGGCTAATAAATAGACAACATTAAAAGAAGGGTGTTATTGTGGGGTCACAGAGAAAATAATAATAACTTCGATTCTATTTAAAGATTCACCAGTTTTTTGTTTCAGTCTTACAACCTTGTTGTCACAAATAATGCTAGATAAAAAAATCAAAAAATAAAAATTGCAAATAATCACCTAGAGATTGTTGTTTTGAGTTGTAGTTGCACTTGTTCTCCCGTAAACGTATTTTTGTTCCAAGCAAATATTTACATAACAATCACATATTTATCAATTCCTATCTCTGCAGCTTTGTGGAACACGCCGTTCAAATATTCACAGTAGTTGTAACGCATTGCTGTAAAATAGTTGTAATTACAAAGGCTAATGTCGCTGTCTTTTAGCTTAAATAACTGCTGAAATATTATCCTTGTCAATTATATAATTCATATTTAAAATTACCTCGTTATTTTAAATTTAATTTAATTTGCTATCCTACATTGTTTTAGCAGTAGTTAGTACATTAGGGAAGTAAGAATATTCGCTCAGGGTATTCTGTGTTTTCCTATAAGTAATGAGACGGTTTAGTCGTGTTTATTATTTATTCTTTGTATCATTTATTGTAATCATTTTTGGAAAACCAAATAAATAAATAAATATATGTACTCTACGGCTCCTTGTGCGAAACATGCGTCCATGTTTCGACTATAGTGAAGCAAAAATTCAACTGTTGTATTGGCTCGTCAAGCACTATTGGATTCACGCAAGAATGACGCACCGTGGAAAACTTTTTACGTTTTAATTTATTTATTTATTTATTAATGCGAATCCGGATGTAGAGCGGAACAAAGGTCAAGTAACTCTATGAGGGACGAGAACTACAAGTGTAGAAGATAGCTGTTGTTGTTATTAAAGAGTTTGCAGTGATTAGCATATCGGTGAACTTTAACAAGTTACAATCACTCGTTTACTTCGTACTATTTGAAACGGATCGTTTACATTCGTTTGTTTTATGATAAAGCTGGTTAATGTTCCTACATCAATGCTGCATCGGGAAACAGAAATATAGTTAACTGTCTTAGATTAATTGTATCACGCAAATGTAGTATTTGAAATTTCTTTTATTGGCAATTTCAATATTCTATCTGCAGATAGATTTGGTTACTAGCGATAAGTATTTGACATAAGCTCCATAATATTTCCGTCAAAATTCGATCACAAGTAACCAAATCTTTCCCTAGATAGAACATTAACAAGGAGCCGTAAATATGTAAAATAGTTTTAGTCTGTATATACTTTTCATAGATACTTACAGCCCTGGAGATTTTGCCAAACACTATTATGTGTCACATCGATCTTCTATGAGGTGTACTTACTCAGTAGAGCTGGCTGGTTCTTACAGCAGGGGCTGTTAACTAAACTGTATGGCCAAGAATCGCTTTGCTTTTAAGAAAATGGCACGCAAGTACATTCAGGGGAAATTGCCAGCAGTTTCATGACATCATCAGATATAAATGTGTATGTATATGTATATGTAAGGTAATACTTATTGTATCTTTTAAAAGTATTGTATGCTAGAATTATATTATGTGTTATATATTTATATTTAATAATTATGTATTTTTTTTCTTTTTAGTTTATAACTGTGTTTGTGCACCAACCTCAACTTCTCAGTACCACCCTAAGGTTGACTGGTAGAAAATGCTGTCAGCATTAAGTCCGCCTATGTACTGTTTTGTGCATGAAGTTTAAAAATAAAAATAAATAAATAAATATATGCAGCACCACCATAGTGGCATGTAATTCTCGATGCCAAATAATGAAATACTACTTGACTCGTGCGAAAATTTTGCTCATTACTGTGAACAGTCAACTAATAGTAATGTCATAATCTTATCCTTTAAACGAGCAATTCTTATTTCTTCAATATTTTTTTGCTATACCAGATTATTTTCTTTATTTTTTCCTTTTTTTATTTACAAAATACATGATTTACCCAAAAAGAAAAAACCGGTCCTGCAGGTACTGTATAAATAAGTATGTATTATTTTGAAGCATAACGTTTTTCAGTCTACTTCGTTATCTTTCATTTAAACAAATTGTCAAATTGTCTTATCATAAAAAAAATCATAAGAAAAGTTTAGACTTTTTCAATGAAAACATAAAACTTTATTAATTGTCTATTAATCTTCTATAGTGAAAAACAAGAGCTTTAAAATGGTTTTCATTAAATTCGATGCATAATTACGGAAATTATGAGATACTGCCCAAAAATCCTATAACAATATGTATATAGAATATTGCATATTCAGACATTGGCTACGCAAACTAAGTTTTATTTCTTGCGTGCACATATCAGAGTTTTGAATACGCTATGATAACATGACGGTAATTCAACGCTGTATAAATCGTAAAATATGCTATATTATAGATTACGTGTTCATTGTTTAACGGAAACTCGATCGCTGTTTGGTTCAATAAAGTGGCTTACGCTGTGTGAACTAGAGAAGACGCGGCATTACAAAAGCGTAGAATCAACGACAGCAATCAAACCTTCAACTACAATGGGACCAACAGTCTAATCTGTATTTAGTAACATCTGCGACGGAGGTAATAACACTCGTTACTAAACAATCGCTCACTGCTCGCCTCGCTCACAAATTATAAGCGAACAGCGGTCCGCGATTTCTGAACAATAAATCGCCTATGGTCGGTACACGACCGAAAACTCTCGTTTTACTCGTAATGATTAGTTATTTAGTGTACTTGGTTAAATTAAACTATTCTACGGATTTGTGGAACCATGAACGCCGGAAAGGGTTCGAAACATCTTAAATTTAAAAATCAAATTAATAATCGACAAATTTCATTTAACCATGTATAATATTCGCGTAAAAGTAAGAAATCAATGCTTTATTATTTATTATTACAACACGTTAAGATATTCCGGGCCTTTATGCTGCCTCGCGAACGTCCCAACATTCAGCGAAGATTTTATTCAACACCTAAAGCAGTCAATGTACGCGTCTACATCTCGATTTGTAGTTGTGATGAATCCAAGTGAAAATTACAGTAGTAAAAAGTTGATCACTCGTCACTTACACCACACGCTTTCGCAATGTCACTTCACACTAAATACCTAGACGCGAACATACTCGCACATGCATATCTCACGGTACGTTGCGTTTGAAATTACGAAGTACACACTGACTTGATCTTTCCAACCGTTATTAGGTCGCCCTTTTAATTTTGCCGTATGCGAAATATTTTTTGATATTCTCACCAAATAAATATTTTGTTTTTCCTCCTTGATCTTTTTTGCACATCTGTAGGATTTATTCATTCATTATCATAATTTATTTTGATTTTCATCATATCTTTTTCATTATAATTACAAAAGCTAAAATAATTCGAAAAAATGTTCTAATAAGAGACTGCTGAAAAGTATTTGAATCTGACTCTAATTATGTACTACCACAATCATAACGGCAACAACGGTGCTTCAAAATATGTAAGGCTGTTAAAATACGAAGTAGATAATAAAAACAATAGTACGAGTAGCATTATGAAAGTAGCCTTATTACG